CCACCATCAACTAAACTGCCTTAAAAAAAAAAAAAAAAAAAAAAAAAAAATTGATTCGTTTGGGAATTGAACACACAACCACCAGCCAGGTTTCCTGTAACATGATTGGTCTATTTTTTTATAATTTTCATAATTAATTTTTCAAACATTTTTGTCTATTTAAAAAAAAGTGCGTAAGTTATGGAGATGGTAATAATCAAAAATTGATTATAAATTAAATTCTACATTTTTTGACAAAAAAATAAACCCTTTTGGCCCACTGCCCATTTTTGACACCATGACCATGCGTAATATTACCCTGTATTGTATATATACAAAGAATTTTTTTTAGTAGGATAAGAGTTGACTAACTGGTACTTGGTGTGGTACTAGGTTTATCGCATTTATGGCTTAGGGGCCGCGGTTTACCTCCCTCCGTTTAGTCATGCTGGATCAAGAGTAGTAAACTCGGCGATCGTGGGTTCGATTCCCACACGGGGCAAATTTTTTTTTTTTTAATTTTAATTTTTTTTTGTTTTGAAGGTCGTGGGTTCGATTCCCACACGAGCCAGTTTTTTTATTAGTCTTTTTATTATGTCATTTCTTGAATGTAGATGTCAAAAAAAAAAACACACAAATACTAGGTTTGCTATTCATTATCCAACATTAAATAAACTGCCTTATAAAAAAAAAGAAAGGTTCGTGTGGGAATCGAACACACAACCATCAGGTTTTGCTATTCATTATCCACCATCAACTGAACTGCCTCCAAAAAAAAAAAAAAAAAAAAAAATTGGTTCGTGTGGGAATTCAACACACAACCACCAGGTTTCCCGTAACATGATTAGTCATTATTTTTTTTATAATTTGCATAATGAATTTTTCGAACATTTTTGTCTATTTATAAAAAAGTTCGTGGAAAAGAAAACATAGTATATCCATCGGGCTCGCAGGCTGAAACAATAGCAGAATTGTTATCACAAAGCCATGATTCGGTTAATAGCATCAAATCAATACCATTATCAATAACGTACTGTAAAAAAGGAGTAGTTTTGTTGCAGATAGACTGTGCATTCCATAATCCCATTTTTATAAGTTGGTGATTGCTTTGTGTTGAGCAAGTAAAACAGCTTGATTCAGGCTGAGAACACGATTCGTGTAATTTTTCAGTTGTGACGTCATCAACATGTTTATAACGCTTACCTCCCCTACAACCCGAGTTGGGCGGAGAATGCCGAAGTCTTTGATAGTCTTGAAAACAAGTGGATCAAGAAACAATTTAGGTTTGGTTTTAGGCCTGAGATATAATAATGTTTGCTTACTGTAACTAATACATCTAATAATAGGCGGTTTATAGCTATGGTACAAACCAATGACTGATCTAGGCCTTGTCAGAACAGTCCTATTGTGTTGGTGGGATGCCCAACAGGCAGCCACAAGGCTACCACAGTGCCCGCTACTAGAACAAAAGCACTCAAGACCTAGGCCTGGGTTCAACTCTTGAAAAAAAGATCTAACAAAACATGGAAATTGTAACCAAAATGGAGCTAATCTAAACATGACTTGGTTGAAGGCAACAAACTACAAATAACAATAATAATCCAAGGAAGGCTGCAGTGATGTTGAGCGCCTGGTAGTGGCTATATGTCATATCATTTCATCAAATTCATATTATTTATGTATCACTTCATTGGTAGTATTTATTGATCATATTTGTTATCTAGGAAAGGACCGATGCGAGCTCCAGCCAATGTGAGGGCGACAACTAGATGGGATTATGCTCCAGACATCTGCAAGGACTACAAGGAGACTGGCTTCTGTGGATTCGGTGATAGTTGTAAATTCATGCATGATCGATCAGATTACAAGTTTGGTTGGCAACTAGAAAAAGAATGGGAAAGTGGCCAAAGAAATCAGGAAGAAGGTAGAATATAATAATAATTATTGTAGTTGTTTTATTAATTTGTTATTATAGTTGTTATTTAAATATATGTCAGTTTAATTCTAACAAAAATTGTAAAATATGATTATGATAAATACTAACTGAATTTATTTCAGCATTATCATTGTCATTATTTTTTTTCTATTTTTAATTACATTAATACCGCTACTACTGTACCGTGATTATTTATATAAATACTGTTATTGTTACTGTATTATTATATTGATGATTTATATTACTATAATAATTATTGTTATAAGTCAATTGTGACGTCATCACTGTAACTCCCAAAGTTATTTTCCTATTACCCAGCGTCCACTAATTTTTCTATTAGTGGACGCTTGGCTTGATTTTTTTTTAGGTTCGTGTGCAAAAAAAAATTCCTCATTTTTTTGTTACCGCGAATACATCGCACACCATGATAAAAATTGAATTGTAATTGAAAATTACTTTCGTAAAACAAGCTTAATTAGAACCCGAAGAAAGTTACTTCAAATTCAATATTAAATATGAACAATTAAGGAATTCATTGAATCAATGGACGTTTAATTGGAATATTCTAGACATATTTTAAAGACTCAAGGAACAAATTTAGATGTAGGCCTACGGCCAAGCAGAAGGCCACCCGGACCTTCTCCTACTACTACTAGGCCGTAGCCTAGCCTAGTTATCAACTCATCGCATGATTTTACCTGTCTACATGCACCGACCAAAAAGGACGTCTCGAATGCTGAAATGTTTATTTCTTTGACAAAAGTCTATCAAAATAACATTACAAACAAGTTCTTTCTAACTGTACTGCTGATATGTAGTTAATTAAACGCGTACTGCAGGAGCAAAAATCAGCATGCGCACAGCTAAATATAAATATGTACGCGTATACTGATCATATCATTATAGCAACCGATGACTGCTACAACAGTTGGTTATAAAAAACTAAAATTAAAAGACGGCGATTGACTTATAAAGCAATTAGTAGAACATGCATTGTACACTAAATGGAAAATTATTATACTTAAGTTAGATTTAATGCATTCAAAAATTTTTTTAAGCATTAAATCTAACCTTCGTATAATAATTTTCCTATAGTGTACTATGCGGAGCTCTACTAATTGCTTATTAGTCTTTTTATTATGTCATTTCTTGAATGTTTGCTTGTTACTCTTATATTTTTCCTTTTTATTTTTGTATATTACAAGCTTGTTTCAATTTTGGTAATTGAGGTTATTATTTTATCTTGTTTTTCAGATCCACATGCATATGAAATTGATAGTGATGATGATGACCTTCCATTCAAGTGTATAATCTGCAGAGAATCATTCAAAAATCCCATTATCACAAAGTGAGTAGAAGTCCAGCATAGCTCAGTGGGTTTGTAGTCTATATAGAGTACTACTACGGTGTGGAAGTCAGAACACCACTTGACACCAGTTTGGTATGAGCAATGCTACTGGAGAGTCCCTCCATTGCTAAAGCCACATTTATTGATTTATTTATTTACTTTGTGAACATACGCCTTTAGATTGGCGGCATTCAAGGGTGGTGCGTTCAACTTAAATACAATACAATGGATCACTTAATTACTGTACAATTAATACTAAATAAAACATAATAGACACAAACTTAAAAATAACTAAAATGAAACACAGTATAATATACTTATCAACTGATGTATACAACTTAATTTTAAGACATCTTATCTACATATTGCACATTTTCCCCTTTAATTTCTTTACTGACTGCTATTGTGGGTTGGAGATGTGTATAGAATAGTGTGTTATCTGGGGACAAAGATCCTAGATTCTCAGGTTTTTGAAGAATTGGAAAGAAGTTAAGGGATCAATTTAAATACATTGAATAGGTAAACAAACACTTTAAACTTGACAGATGTGTTAATGCAAAACTATTATTATTATTATTGTTATTATTTTGATGAAGTAGATTATATTCTAATATAACATTCTGCTGTAATTCAAATACCACCACCACAATTATGATACTGAAAATGAACATTATGTTTAAAATTTTCAGATGCAAGCATTATTTCTGTGAGCAGTGCGCCCTCAAACATTATAAAAAGTCCAGTCGTTGCTTTGCTTGCAATACACAGACAAATGGAGTATTTAATCCAGCAAAAGGTAGGCTATTTTCTGTAGTGCTAAAGTTCATGATGTTATGTTTTAATACAATTTTTATAGTACATTTTTATAACCATCAAGGTAATTTTTGGGGGTATTTTTCAGAATTAATAGTGAAGTTGAAAAAACATAAGGAAGAACATGGAAGTGATGATGGTGGACAAGATGAGTCTGATGAAGGATGAACCAGGCAGTGGGGTGACATCAGGAATTGCCAGACGGGTGTTAGGGGCGGGGGAGACTAAGCTGTGTGACAATAGGATCTGACAAATTGTGACTGAAATACGAGCCCTCTGATGCCCTAAAAGCCTGGGCAGTTTTGACAATTTTAAGGTGGTCTGAGACATTTCAGCATGTTTAATGGCCTACAAAAGATAAAATATTGTTCCTATTTTTTGATACAATTAGGGTATTAGCCTGTCCAACAGGGGATAAACCATCCTCCCCAACTTGTGCCACTGCTGGAACCAAAAAATCTAATGTGTGGTCATAAGATTTTATGACCACTTATGATAATAGATTGTTTCTGGCACCAGAAAAAAAAAAAAAAAACTTTCGAGAGAGAATCATTGGTGTTTCAGATAGATATCTTCACAAAAATACAATGTAAACATGTTACAACAACATTTACATATATAAATAAATAAGATATATATTGATATAGAAAAATGCTATTACCTAAGGCATTTTACTTTTAAGTTCATTCTATTTGTCATTATGTTCAGGAGTACATTCACCTGGTATACCCAGCATTGACTGCTGGTGAAATATTATGTACAATAAAGTTACACTTAATTTAGATTTTCAGGTGTTTGAGTTCTTGTTTTGACTGTTCCTTGGCTACTTTTTCTCTTCATTCTCGTCATTGTCGCAGCTCCTTCTCTATTTTTCCACTAAAAATCCACTAAAAACAGTTTTCTAGAATCCCAAAGCTTTATAATACAATTTCCTCTAAAGACACCTCTACTGATCCTTTTTCTGACAATTTCTCTGTTTTTAACAATAGAATTTGTAAAAGGTTCTCCACAATATTTCTTAGGTTTTTTTGGCCCTTGGCTTCTACATACATAGTTTTTGGTTACTGTGTATTTGGTACGATAACACAACACTCCTCACTCCTATATTTCTTGAGGCAAACTCAACATTTTTAGTGGTTTTTATCTGGCTAGATAAACTGGAGGTCGTGGGTTCGATTCCCATACGAACCATTATTTAAACATTTATTTTACTGGCCAGTAATTGGGGACATATTGAGTATTTAAAAAGTATACTGATTAATCTCAGATAACATAGTGTAATACATGACCTTGCGTAATTTACCCACAGCTGTATATTGCATCTTTACATTTCTTTCGTTAGACCTATTTTTTATTATTCCAGTGTTATTTATACTGTAGTTCTATTTCGTTCTTATAACAAGCCCATTGGATTGAGAGTCCAGTCTAAATTTGTATAACGTACTCGCGCAAATAAGCGCCCGGGCGCTTAAAATATTTTGGCACTTTTTGAGGGGCGCTAATTCAAACAGGATGCTTATTCGAACAGAGTGGAAATTGAGGAGGCGCTTATGGAAATAGATGAAAATCGAGGGGTTATTATCACAACTTATTAAATTCAAGAGGCACATTTTGAATGAAAAATGATTATATAAGGAAACCGCAAATTACGAACGGTGGTGCGGCGGAAAAGATAATCGTCCAGAGAGCATGGCTTGTCATGACAAGAATGTTGCATATTCGCTCTCAGCAGCTGTTCTAAACTAATCAACAGAATTGGTGGGGACATAATATTAAACTCAATTGCAGTAGTAGATCCGGGAATTCGAAATATAGCAGGCCATGGAGGGATGTTTACACGGAGGATGAAGACCATCTCAGCCCCACCATGGTTGACGGAAGAAAATGTATGATTATAACACCTCTAGATGGCCGGAAATGGCACTCTCAGACTTTTAATGTAAATTTTTTCTTTTTCTCCAGATCTTTACAATTTTGAAAAATTTAGTGGGGCCCCGGGCTGCCTGGGGTCCCTTGAATCAGCCACTGAAAGCTTGTAAACAAAACACACAAAAAAAAACAGCTTGCCATTGGAAATTCTATGAGCCTCGTTTTCAGTAACTAAATGACGCCGCGTACAACAGTTTATCAAAACTTTGGGCTTTCCCAAAGATGGCGAAGTCGGCCGCTACTTTGGAATTCTTGCAATCCCCACTGGATAGTGTCTTGCACATACTACCTCATGGCCACGAAAAAGCCCTGAGACATGCATTCTACAATGCTGCGGCATTTGTATTTATTCTTATCTTATTTTCAGCTGGAATAGCTGTGTATTTTGTTCTGGAGGCTTTCATCCAGCCACTCGTGTGGGCCGTCCTCTGTGGTACCGTCCTTTTCCCATTCAAACATGCCTTGACGAAGCTCGTTCAACAGTGGCTGTCTGGCCTAGCTGAGTCAGGGACACCATTGTTCGTGGGCGCTGTTGCTTTACCGATTCAGGTGCTAGATTCGTCTTCTGAAGGCTTAGCAAATATTATTACAAGGTGGTTGAAACCTCTCATAGGACTCGCTATAGGATTGCCGTTATCTTATCTAGCATACTATTTTCTTGATTATGTTTGGACTGGGCTAGAGAATGCAGCGTCAGTTGTCAATGATGTCCTCAACTGTTTCAGTGCTTTTTGGGTAAGGCAAACGTTGGATTTAGGGCCTTGCTAGGTTAGGCCTACTATACCTACCTATCTACCTAGAGTAGTAGTAGTATTACCACCGGCGGATTTAAAGGGTGGCCGAGCTGCAGGGACGGCTCTAGGACTGTCTCTTATACACATCTAGATGTGTATAAGGGGGGGGGGGGGGCGGCGGCTAAGTATTTATGAGTGTAACTAGGCCTACAGTATAGTACGCAGCGTTATCGAAGGGCCGAGCCGATGATGGGTATGGGAGGGGGTGTCCCCTCCTCCAAAAATGAGATTTAAAAAAAAAATGGGACTTGATTTTAGATGTTCTGCTTGACTGATCAGACCCAGACGAAGCGATTACTGAGACAGATTTGGCCTGGCTTAATAGGCAGTACCGAAAGGTCCACTGATTAATCTAAGATAAGATAGTATAATACATACTCCATGTATCAGAATGCACGCCATCGTGTCAGGATTCAATATTTCGACATTAATTATGTCATCAGGAATTAGGCAGTACAGTACTGGGATGGGCCTATTTTATTATTTTTTTTGGGTCCGACTGGCCGACGAGCTTTGGCCGATAGGGGGGCTTGACCAGACCTTTCAGACATCTGGATCCGCCCCTGATTACCATCAGGCCTAGGCGATTACACTGGCTCAGTTGTTTAACCTATGATTCAGTCCAGCTTAGAATAGAATTATGTACATTATGTAGGTGGCCTAATAATGCACCTTCTTAAATTTTGCAAAAGAATACTGGTCGTTTTATGGGCTGTACTGCTAACATTTCCATCATTCAAATGTCTGGTTATATATTTGCAGCGTGATTATGAAAATTTCAATTTTTGAAATATCGAGCAGCACTGACTTCTGATGAGAACATGCATTTTTGAATTGGTCTCTCAGTATCACCTGCTTAATCAGCTATATAGGTAGTGTCAGATAAGGGGAGCAGAAAAGAGTCTAATTCACAGAAAAAAAAGTATGCAACCCCCTACTGGGGTACACAAGTCTGCAGAGCTGATTTAAATCGGTTATGATGAAGGACAATTATTATTATTGTTGTTTAGTGAAGTGTAGAAACCATTTATAGTGGTGTATTAAATTGTACTACTGTATGGCTGTTTTATTATGATGCAGGTGTCAGAATTATGTAGATTTAATAGTAAATTTGAATTTGCATAAGAATAATAGGTCCTGATTGTAGAGCAGTAGTGTGTAAGCCACTTGTTTTTGTAGTGGAGCAGCTCTGTATATGATAAATACTGTAGTTCCCTGTGGTGTAGGCCCGGCCCACTCCCTTGAACATGAAAGTGGGCTGATTTGTGCAGTGGCCTTTTACCCAGGGAATCATATGTTCATGAATGAAATTGTATTAAATAATAATAATAAAGATTTATAAAGAGCACATCTCCACCAATGGTGCTCAAGGCCTATGATTCAGCCTAGCTTAGAAAATAATTATGTACAGTATGTAGGTGGCCAGTATTGGCCAATCAAAAGGCAAAATTTCAATACTCCATGTCCAATTGAATGCCAATTTTTATTTATTTATTTTTTTTTTTGCTGCAAGTCAGTTTAGCAAATCATAACCTTGACTTTTGCCAGAGGAATTTTTGGTACATTTGGGCATCAGAACTAAGGTGGTACTCAAGCTTGTACTTTGTTAGTAGAGGCATGGAGGCAACGTGACAATGTACTGTAAAAAAAAAATTAAATCGGAATTAGTTCAGGTAGTAACCATGCTGTGTAAACAACCAGGCAGACATTTTCAATTATAAAATTTAAGTAATGTACTATTCAGATTTTATTGCTAATTGTTGAAGGTTAATTAAATTATTTAATGGTATTTAATTAATGAGTAATTGTGAACATACCCACACCAAGGACACCAACCAGTAGTCGGCTTGAGATTTGAACTCGGATCTTTCAATTGGAAAATTGTGATTTACCACTGAATGACAAATATAATAAGAATAATGAATTACCATCAGTAGGAGACTAATTTAATTGAGTAGTTATATAAAACATGTACTACACTCTCAATGTAATATAAATAGTATGTGCTCTCTGTTTTTCTATTAGGTATGGACTATAGTTTTGGCTTACTTGTTGATAGTGATCTTCTGGTGGAATGATACTTCAAAGCCTATATTAAGTGCCTTATCAGTACCGGTGTGGGCTATTCTACTGGTGTTCTTTGCTACCATGACAGGGCCTTTCAAAGTCACTTTGTCTGTACTCAGTGTGATTATCATCGGTGTTGGGCTTAGCACTTACATGAAGGAGAAAGCAGTAGCACTGAACGGTAAATTACAGTTTGCCCTCCAATTCGAGACCATTTTTGGGACCTGAAAATTTGGTTTTGTGTTAAAAATGTTTATCAAAAGCTATTTTTTTGTAATTATTTTAGGTTTTCTATGTAAAATGAAACACTGGTAGCACTTTAACTGAAAAGTCCCGATTAATTTCTGATAAGACAGTATAAAACATACTCCAAGTATCGAAATTCACGCCATCGTGTCTGGATTCAATAATTTCGACGTTAATTATGTCGTCATCAGGAATCAGCACTTTATTGACTAACTAAAGTCTTTATTCACACAAGCTTTTTACCAGTAGCTGTGCTGGTTTTATCAGACATTCATTCTGATGCAACCAGCCTAGACTGCTGCCAAAAGCTTGTGTGAATATACTTGAGAATGCTAAACAAAAAAAGAAAAAATTCTCCCCTTTGTCATCAAAGTGTAGTCAATATCATTTTATATTATATTCAAATTTCTAAGAGAGAGCAGCTTAGCTCAGTGAGAGAGCAGCTTAGCTCAGTCGAGAGAGCAGCTTAGCTCAGTCGGCTAATCTGGTGGTAGCCACTGTGTTTTCTGAACCGTGGAGATCTGTAGGTCTTCGGTTCAATTCCCATCGCTGCCACTCCTTGTGTTTCAGCCAGAGGGCTGAATTTATACAAGTTAGTTACAATAGCGCACTGTCTTTCGGATGAGACGTTTAAGCCGTTGGTCCCATGTACATTATGACATGTGCATGTTAAAGAACGCAGTACACTCTTCAGAAAAGAGTAGGGGATCGTCTCCCGGTGTACTGCCCAATCACCACCAGAAGGACCCCACTGGAAATAAGTCGTCTTCTAGACTTTCGTTGGCTATCCTTGATGTTTACACCGAATAAATCCAATCCAATCCAAATAAATCATTATACAACAACAAACAAAAATTAAGACGTTCTTTCAAATTTACTTTATGTTCATTTCCTAATTTAGAATCAAATACAAGTTCTTGTAGTCTTCATACATTCTCCGAAGCCAGCGCATCTGCTCCAGAAAATCTGTTGCCCAACATTAATATGCAGAGAGGGAATGATGAATTGGAAAGTGGAGCAGATACTGCTAAACCTGAGCAAGATACTACAGGTAAAACTTCAAAACATTTCTAAATTTTCTAAATTGGGATACATTGATTCAGCAAAGCCTTGAACATGTTAAAATGTACAGATTAAAGTCTATGAAAACACTGTCTTGAGAATGTATTTGACTCTGTTATAACCACCTTCCCTCGCACCAAATATGGTACATAACTATAGAGCAGATTTATACTAACATCAGTCAACCCCTAAAAAATTGAGGCTGAGGTTGTGATGCCAGATAACACTTACTACATACTGTACTTACAAACATAGTTTTTGGAGTTTTTTGAATTGACGGATACAGTAATATATATGTAGTAATGATGGTGGTTGATTGATTTCTAATGCAATTTCATAAAAAGTATATTAAAATGTGCAGAACAATATAATAAAAAAGCATTGAAGATAACAAAATTATAAATAATATTTATTATTAATGCGACAGAATATGACATTGCAGACCATTTTCAACACCCCAGCATTTGTTAATATATTGATTATAGATTTAATTAAATTGCTACTACTGTAGTAGATTGACAGTAAAAAAAACGATACTAGTGCAGTACCTGAAAATGATGTAGCTATCATACTTGCCATGCTATATTTATAATTATAAGTCAGTCGTGTTGTCATCACTGCAACTCCCAATGTTACTTGCCTATTCCCCACAATACAATAATTTTTCACATTGGATGCTTGGCTTGATTTTTTTTAGGTTTGTGTGCAAAAAAAATACATTTTTTCGTCTCTGCTAAGCAAAAGTATCCGCGATGAAAATTGAATTATAATTGGAAATTACTTTTGTAAAACAGAGTTAATTATAACCTGAAGAAAGTTACTTCATATTCAATTTTAAGTATGAACAATTAAGGAATTCATTGAATCAATGAACCCTCATGAACTAAAGAAACTGAAAGTTTAATAGGAATATTCTAGACCTAGAATGTTCTAGATCAGCATACGCACAGCTAAATGTAAATACGCACACAGTATAGAGATCATATCACTATAGCAACCTGTGATTGCTTACAACAGTTGGTTATCAAACCATATTAAAAGTAGGCGATTGACCTATAAAGCAATTAGTAGAGCTGTGCTTTTGTACACCAACTGAAAATTACTATACTTAGGCTCTCAGGAAATTTTTTCAAGCATTAAATCTAACCTTTGTATAATAATTTTCCTATAGTGTACTATGCATGCAACAATGTACAGTGTTATAGAAAAAAAGCTTTGTTATTTTTCTATGTCTCCGAAAACCAGATGGCGTTCAGCGTCCATTGGGTCTGCACATTCCTAAATGTACCGGACCAGACAGCACTAGCACACGGAAGAAGAGTAGGAACCTGAGTAACCAATACATCATCAGTCTGGTGTGGATGTGTGTGTTGTTGAAGTTGTGGATGCACATGTGGTGGCTACAGCTTCTGCCAATTCCAGTTCTTGTGTGGGTGCTGAAGAGACTGGTGACAGAAACTGGAGCTTTGGATTTCACAAAACAAAAAGTAAGAAATGAAATGTAGAAAAACCACTAAAAGTTAAACATTCAGAGCTTCTAAACGCGGCCGTCCCAAAGCAGAACAATGTAAATGACATTTTTGTCTATTTTAAGATATCATTTGGGAGCATGTTTAACACTTACCTATGAAAATTTCAGGTCTCAACAATGAGTGGTTTTGGAGAAGGCATTACCTATCTTTAGGAACAAAGCTTAAAATCTACTGTTTTCTCGTGGCAATATCGACTTTATGGTGTTTTAATATCAATAAATGACAATATATACACAAGCTAGATAATGCATATAATTGCCCCAGAAATGATAAATTCAAAAAATATGTCGCACTTGCAACAATACTGTGCCTGACATGTTTCTGATGTAAAACAACATATCTGTGAATATCGTTAAATAAATTTGCAATAAACCAACGGTTGTAAATAAAATATATATGGTCATGTAAAATTTTAGAAGGGTACAATTTATTTATGAAAATTTATTGCCAATTTGCAAACTTTAACTATTTTTCTCAAAAAGAGAAAATTTCAAGTTGCGTTGTTTGCCACGGAACGGTTGAACGGTAATGGGTATGGTCTTGATTTCAAAATACTGATATTGTTTTTTTCAAAATTTTATTAACCGTATTATGTGTCTACTAATTTGCTTTTAAATTTTTGCTATTTGCCTTATTTTTATTATTTCGGTATACAACAAATACAAAACAGCAGCCAATGGCTGAAGATGTTTGTTTACAATACAGTTGGAAATATCAATTATTCTCGTATGCTGAGCCATTGCTTGATATTATGTATCACTTCTTTCAGGCCATTGCCTTGTATGATTTTGCCTCCGTTCTCTCAATTATCCAAATGCCGTTTTACTGTACATTAGGCTAGATTAACTCATTCTCACTAATTTAAATGTAGAAAAATAATTTGTCTGTCTTCCTAATAGGTTCGGCAGCGTTGGAGTACTATGCAAGAGTGGGTGCAGGATCGTGAAGATGCTCTTGTACCACATTATATTCGTGGGATACTATCATTGTGCCTGAAAGGAGATAAAAAGGTTTGGTTCTGTACAATGTTTTGAGACTTTGATGACGATGCCGACAGTTATGACACCGACTTTGATGATGCCAGTGGCAATTATGCATGCGACATAGACACTTACGCTGAAGACAATGATGTCGACCGTAATGACGACTGAAAATTACCTTGTTGAAGGTGATGACAATGACAGGAATTGCGCCTTCCACACCAACAACAATAACAGCGATGGCCCCAGCACTGATTATCCACTGGCAAGTGCGGCCACAGTGTTCACATCGGTGGTGGTGGTGCTGCTGCTGCCAGTGATATTCACGTCGATGCTGATGACAACAGTGGCTATTACAACTACAGCGATAATGACATGAGTGTACCGCTAATTTCAATGATATCCACAGCGATTTCTCAGACACTGTTTCTGGCTGTTACAACAGTACTGTTAGCAATGCCACGGCGTTGCCAGTACAAAGTGAGAGTACAGTTACAGCTACGAAGATTACAGTCACCGATAGTCTTTTTGTTGATCTCGATGATGCCTATGTTGATTTCACTTTTGACGTTCGCCGACAACGAATTTGCCAATGATGATGACTTCAGCAGAGCCAATGGCGCTGCTGGTGTTAAATGATAGCGCTAACACAATTACACCTGAGATTATGGAGAGCAATAGTAATTTATTTGGTATGTTTTATGCTAACAGAGGTACTCAAAGCGAACCGGCGATGACATTGGTTGAGGCGATGTTTTAGTTGGTGAGGATGTGTACAAATATAATGCCGTCGACGCTGATGACAATGACAGCTATAATGCTGCTGTTGTTGATGACGACGATGGCAAGAAAGGCAACAGTGGACCCACCTTAGAATCGAGGTTCAGGAGGCCACTGCAATTTCGCATACGGCGATTCCGCTGACAGCGAATTTGCCAGGTGCCGGCGGGGCCGATGGTGCCGTCGGTACCGTTAATTGGCGACTCAGGTGACAACGTCGCCGATGGCAATGCCATTGGTGGTTGTGCTGAGTAATTGCGCCAATTGAAGAACAAATATTGCAACTATAATGAGCGAGCATGCCCAAGTTTTTTTTGCAAACAGCAAATATGTCAACAATAAGTACGAACTATGGTAATTTTTTGGGCGATGGCAATTTTGCAAATGGCGATGACTCAAGTGATGATGACTGTGACGTTAATCTCAATGTTATGACGTGTCACTGTAGTCAGCATCATCACCAAGTCCCTAAACATTGTACAGAACGAAACCTTTGAGGCTGTTGTTTTCTATTTTTCAGCTGATCACTATCCTGTCAGGCTCACTGGATAAAATCATCAGTATATTCATTATTTTGTCTGTGTTCGTTTCCGTTGTCATAGCAGCATTTCTCGTCTCAATACAGGTAGTTTTTAACTAGTTTACTTTAATTTTTGTTTTGTAGTTAAAAGTAACTATAGTAATATATTTATATAGTAATAAAGTAAATATTTGTATTGTACCATTGAAATTGTAACACTGGATGTTTGGACATATATATGCGGAAAAAAAAAACAACCTACTAAAAATCCTAAATTTTCCTACACATTTTTTCACTTGCTTGTAGTAAGCGAGATATTCATGTCGTTCACACATTTAGCAGTTAGCAATCGGCGTATGACATCATAAATGATGACGTATCCGTCACACTAACCGTATGCGTTTGCATGCGAAACCTCTGTAATGTCAAAACTTTAACAAAAAAAAAACTGAAAAATTTCAGAACAGATGCACAAACCCAGTGGTGGCCATCGTGAAGCAAACTAATTGTGTTGTCGTCTTTCTTTTATTTACCAGATTCAACAAGAGAGTATGTATCTCGTTCAGGTGTCGGGTAGTTTGATCAATGAAACTGTTTCAAATCACCCGGAACTTAAAACGTATGTCATCAACTTGCCTTTGTTAATGCTCTTCCCTATGAATATCCTTCTCCCAAAGTTTCTTTCCCGTTAGTTTATTTCTGTTCACTCTCTCTCTCTCTCTCTCTTTCTCTCTCTCTCTATGTTCTGTCCTTATATTCTCGTATATTCCACTATAAAATTGAGTCAGTTGCTTATTGTTAACACAAATTGCTAAACAGCAAAATTGCTAAACAAAAAAATGTCAGCCTATCCTGATGGCAGACTATTCTAAATATGTAACCAGTGCCAATAAAAACCATTCTGTATGAATACTTCCCTTGTATACTTACAGATTTGGGATGCACTGAATTTATATATGTAGCATGTATTTCTGATATATTATCATTTTATTGATTACACAAATTGGTTTAATTGATCATTTTACAAGTTTTTGAAAAATTACTATGAAACTAAAACAAAACAAAAGTGGACAAGTAGAACAATGCCTTATGTATGTGGCCGGAAAAACTGTAGCATGAGTTACCGTAGCATGTTACCATGTTTTTGGCAAGTTATGGTAACACAATTGTAAACATTTCCATAGTAGTTACCTATCACATAATCAATAAATTTGTACTGTTGTTTGTTTTAGAACACATTCAAACCAAAGACTAGTCGTTTTTGGCATGTCTTTTTAGCGTAGCATGAGTTCTACCCAATCACCACAAGAAGGACCCCACTGAAAATAGTCTTCTAGACTTTTGTGGGCTATCCTTGGTGTTTACACCGAATAAATCCAATCCAATTTGTTTCTCCATCTGGTATATTCAATCATATGCAACAAATATATTAATTTAACTTGACATGTGATGTTTCTCATTTGCATACAGTTGGCTGCCGGGTGCTGATGACATGCATTCGGCTGTTGACTCAATGGTTGGCAATCTTCATCGTCATGGTCGAGATTGGATATCTACAAAGGTACAGTATTGGTTGTGTGTGTGTTACATTCTTGTATGAAATGTCTAGCATAATTTAATTTATTACTTCCAAGGTCCTTACTGTGTTTTTATCAGTTTCTAATGACATTACAGTATTTTCTTCTGTACTCTTTAGGCAAATATTCCTTGATGTTCTGATTCTTTTCAGCATGTTATTTACTGTTATTTTGTCATTCTTCTACATGCCCACATTGTAGACACCTATTATTTGAGAATTGCCCTGTAAAGAATGGTGTGGCTGTTTAAATAAGTAGTAGTTCAACGGAGTGTTTCTAACGGCAAGCCAACTTGTAAAAAAACATGAAATACAATACTAAAGAAATAAAGCATTACGTTTGAAAGTCTAGATGAAAACAACAATATAAATGTAGGAACATTTGCAGTTATCATAAATAGAAGTGAATGATAAAACATAAGATGATGGTTTATTAGTAATTATAGTACATAATGGGAATTCATTATTAGGTTACTTTTTGTTTCAGATCCATAATACTTTTGATGGTCACATAGATGATGTCTCGTTTCTTGAGAAACAAATCTTAGAAATGTGGGATCAAATATATATGCAGTGGGCAGCAAAGGTAAAAAAATAATATATATTATATAGGTCTATATAATACATATTATTATGGAAATTGTCTTTGTCTATAAAAATAAATGTGATAAATAAAAATGCAGTAAAACAAATGACTTATAATTCTGTCAGTTTTAGTAATTTTGAATTAATATATTGTATAATATCTGTACATTATTAGCATTTGTTTCAGTAAAGTAAACCTAGTAATTTTATTTACTAAGAATGTGACTGGACTAGAGTCTAGGAAGTCAAATGTGGTGACATCATGGAATACCGTGGTGAATTCCTTCAGCAAGTTGGACAACCTGCACATCACTGGGATCATGACCTACATACAGGATAACATAGAAACTGTCAAATCAGTAAGTACTCTTTGATAAAGCGTGTCTTATTTGTCTGGGTTGCAGATTGTTTTTGAAAATTTGTTGTTCAATATCAATTGTTTTTTTACTTTTAAACCTGAGAAAAATAATTCATGTTGGAAAATATTTTTTAACCTAAACCTAATAAGTGAATCATTTACAATCCATGATTACTGTAAAACTGATTCTCGTGATGATGGTGCTTGTGAAGTGGATTTGCTTTTGGTTGTCAAAAAATTAACATGTTTTGGACAGGATTTGACCCACAACCTTTGCATTGAAGCTAAAGCCCCTATCGCACTGGACTTAATTTGGTCAAATTAACCGAGTCACTGGCTAAATTGACGAAAAAAATCCAATCCGAATGTCGGTTACAATTCCCTCAGGGTTAAATTAACCAAGCTGAATGGTTAATTTTACCGACCTCAGCCTGCCCAGTAAAACTTACCACGGTCTCGGTTAAACTAACCACGCTGGTCAAGAAGTCCAATCCGAAAATGCAACACGGATAAAACTTTCCGAGTTCATGACCTGCCTGGCTTTCTCTACCTCCCCATAAAGTTATCAAAGTTATAGTTTCCTCATATGTCCAGTTTCGGTTTTTTTTTGTTTTTTTGCCTGCAGCCATTTTGTCTTCTTCCATGTTGACACTGCTCGAACAAAACCGGAAGTTGAAGTCACAAACTAGCGCCCTCAATAATATTTTTTATACACAAGGTTAAATCTTGGTAAAACTATGGTAAAACTAACCACGTGAATAATCCAAGTGCGAACAATGGTGAAATATACCCATGACTTTGGTTAAAGTTACCCTGGTTAAATTTACCATTTTTTAAATCCAGTGCGAACAAGGCTTAAGACATCATCATATCCATCAATAAGAGTTCCATTAATCTATTATTACTTGGTTGATTAGAAATTTGATACAATTTAGTATGAATTGAGAGGAAAACCAGATGCACTTTTACTTTTTGGTAAAGAAAAATAACATAATAAAAAAATATTTAATGATTGAGTGAGTGAGTGATTGATTAATTGACTTATTGACAATTGTCTTTCAGATTGCTGAGTCTGTGTGGACAGTCCTTAAGGGAAATATAAACATCGTTTTTACCATCTTGACAACAAGTATTTCTCTGATTTTTGGAGGTGGAACAGCACTCCTTAACTTAGTTATCTCATTTGTGAGTTCTTGGTTACCATTAATTTACAAGTTTTTAAATATCAAATTTGACATGTTGATACTTAAATTTAATGGTATGAAATGATATATTTTCTATGATATGCTAACATTTTAATCTCTGTATTAAACAGTATATTCATTATAATATCTTAGTTGTATATTTATTGAAAATAAGAATGTAAATATATTTTCTCCCTATTTACAAACTCATAAATAAACAGTATTCTTTGAACATTAAATTTAAGGATTTTTGAACAGTAAATCTGCCAAGGAAGAAGTAAGTCTGCCATAAAAAATACTGAATTGCCTTTGTCTCCTTAAAAGTTGATGCCATGATCCCTTTAAAAGAGAAATTTAATGTTTCCACATATAAAATGTTTTCAAGGTTATAGTCAGTATCTTTAATTAATTGTAGCTATTTTACTGTTTTGCTGTTTCACTAATTGATTGTTTTAAAATATGTTTTAATGTACAGAGATATTTCAGCAAATGCTGCCATCTGTTTTTATGGTTCAATGAAATATATACCTGAATGATATAATGTAATTAGTTTATATCTTTAATAATAAGTGTATTTTATTTGCAATAATAAATTGATTTCATTTGAAACTTTGTGTTCAGGCCTGCCCTACACTTAGATGTCGTCTTTAAAAGATCTTTTTGGCATGTACCTTCTTCCCTTTGATTTTGCTTTTTATTCCTGTTCCATTGTTCAAAAAACAATAGAACCTGAGTATTTGTGGCATCTCTCAGATGGTAACTTTATTGCAATACATAGAATCTAATTTTATGTCTTTCAACTGTACTGTACATTTTTATATTTTACCAATGTTGATAGTTCAACAATGTACGAGCAATGAATTTCCGTAAAAGGATGCAATAAAGTGAAAATAAAAATTAAATATATAAATAGTGCCTAAATAAATAAGTATATTTAATCTAGTTTATTTTCAATTGTAATTAATTGAATGGGTGATCCTAATTTCATTTTTATTGTTTTATGTTGTAAATATGAAAGATTGATTGATACTATTTATCATGCTCATTTGCATTTTCTAAAGGCTTTATCAAGTTGTTTACATAGTATGTGTATATCTTTGTATAATTGGTCACCAAGTTGTTTTGATATAAAATAAACAAATAGAAATAAATCTATTGTTTGTTTAATATAATTCGTTTGAATAACTGTTTAAAATACTGATTATGAATAAATATTTATATTGAGGCACAGTCCCCATAATATAATAGTAATCCTTTTTATAGGATCTGTAATATTAAAGTATTGTTTTCCATTTTATTATAATCTTTTTTGAATATTATGGCATTAATGCAGTGCATTCACCATGCACACAAGTGCAAAATACAGCGAATACATTCACGCAAGCTTGGAAGTGGTTTATTAATAATAGGAACATTAAAATTAATAATGTTTAAACTACTGAATGAATAATTATTTGTATCAAAGTATTGTTTTCCATATTCTTATTGTCTTTATTGAATGCACTTTTACATAAATGGCAAATGCTTAACCACCATGGAAATAAATACAAAATACAGATGTCCATGCAATCATGGATGTGGTTATTAGTAATAGACACAGTAAGAAACATCAAAATTTACAATATCTCTTCCACAGTATTGGGATTGTGCTTGGGAGCGGTGCCTTTCCTTGGAACCTACTGGGCAGCCGTTCCTGGGATGATTGAGCTGCTCGTCAAAGATCAGAAAATACTAGCTATCGGGCTTCTAGTAATACATTTCTTGCCATCCAGCTTTGTCGACACAATTATCTACGCCGATATCAAAGGGTAGGTTAATATCTTAATATGGTGCTGTGAAAGGATTTCTGTGTTTGCTTAGTTGATATGGTTGATCCTTGTCCTAGTCCATGTCCTACTGTGAACCTTCAGTCATTGTTTTTGCTTATGATAACATTCAGCCAATGGTTGCACATCATAAACATCCTCCCAGTATTTCATAATTATTCCAGTCAAGAGATACAAAAGCTATTACTGTAAATAGCAGATAGATAGATACGATAATAAAGCAATTGAATTAATATATTAGGTTACTAACAAAATAATGCAAATTAGGTAAGTAAATAGTCCCCACAAAAGAGAAAGGAAGGTATAAAATTTCTGTAATTTTATTGAAAACGTCACAACAGTTTTGGATATAACCTTTCTTTCAGGTGATACCGTTATTTAGCTAACCAACCAAATACTTAATTCACAAACTACAAAGCTAACTACTTAATACAACTAACTTTCTAACCATAAATACATCATGTTATTGTAAACAAAATATATAATATATAATTATATAATTTGCATACATTCGACAAGACGTGTAAGATGGACCAATTTCAACCAGCCAGTTTGTCCTTGTTTTTTGCTCTTGAGCTGGGTCCTGTCTGCATTATAGCAAAGATAATAAATAGCAGAAGATAGACAGCTTCCCAAAATAGTGGAACATCTGGCCGAAATGCATTGTGGGTACACGGTGGCGCTATATAGTAATAATAAAGGCGCCGCTCTGGTTCGTTTGTTTCCTGTAGTTTCTCCACTTAGTAAAATGTTTAAATTTTACTGCATCCGCAGGAGGGTGGATGTTCCATCGATTTTAATGCAAATACGCGGAACAGCTCATTATTCTGCTATTTAAGTTCTTTGATTATAGCACATTTGCAGAAAAAAATGAATCTACACAACTCGAGGAGAGTTAGGGATTGTCTCCTGGTGCACAGGCCATGGTAGGTGCTATACTGCCAGGAGCCTACAGTAATTTGAATTTCGTTTTGGATTGTAAAAAGGACCATATACATTTGCATTAACATAAACAAATATTCATTAAAGTAGAAACTAACACACAAACACAAGTGGTTGCTTGTTGAGATGAATAGCAGTAATCAAGTACTTAGCTATGCGTACTTATTAGCTATTACTAGCTAATGTTTTGAAATTTAACCAATCATTAATCAACTAGTGAATTTTTTTCAGGAAATCTGTCAGTTAACTACAAATCAATATCGACTTAACCCCTAATAATGGTCGACAATAAAATACTAACTCTTTCAAGTATGTTTGAATTTCCTAGTTATTAAATATTAATGAATAACTCAACATAGCTGTAGTGTTTTGTGGTATTTGTTTTAAAATATGGATGAGGACATTATGTAATATTTTAATCAATATATAATACATTTTACAATAAAATATGAATTGATGTATGGATTTTGTTTGAATCCTCAGGGGAAGCCACCCCTATGTAACTGGGCTTGCTGTAGCTGGAGGGATCTATTACTTTGGTCTTAAAGGTGCTATTATTGGTCCCATGCTGCTGTGTTTCCTGCTAGTTGCCTTCAACATTTACAGTGCTGTTATCAACTCTCCACCGCCTACAACCCCAGCTGCAGAGCGCCCGCCAGTGAGACGGGTCAGAAGTGTTTTACAAAGGTACTGTTATTTTTTTTTAACTTTATGGTGAAAATAACATCTCAGTGACATCTCAAATAGAGGGGTACCTAGAAAATCATCTGTTTGAATTCCTTTCCCCTGTTGGGACTGTGACTCTTTCTTGTGACTCTTTCTTGTTTCTTCATTGCTTTAATAGACATAATCTTTGTGCATGTTGTTATTGTTTACTATAGTACATTTTTGTTACGAATCGTTACTTTACAGTAAATGTTAAATGTTGCTATAGTAATGACTGTTCTTGTAGTAATCATTACGTTACTGCATGTTTTTTTCCACCCTCTTTTCAAATTCAAATACACTAAAACTAATGAAAATAATATTTTAAAAATCATTATTTTTACTTCTTTTTTGTTCCTATGCATGTAATGTAAAAAAAAATAATTGAAAGAACCTGCTGTTATAGTTAATTTTGCAGTGGGGGAATAGACTCAACATGGCACATTCTGCTTTTATTTTACTTGACCTATGTGATGTGTTTATACTGTTGATGAGTATTATCTTTCCAAATTTCTTCCATCTTTTGATAACATTGACCACTCCACATCACACATTACATTGTCAATCGCAGGGTATGATTCATACTCAGATCCTGATTTTTGGCCCGCTTTTGATTTTTCATATGCCAAAAAAAAACAAACGTCGAATACAACCTGCAAATGCCAAAAAAATGACTGAGAAAAATATCTTTTTTTTTTTGTTTTTTTTTTTAATCATAAAGCGCGCCACCAACGTTATATTGCCAGGTAAATGCATCTGTATGCGCGACACAGTCAGCAAAAATGCTGTATATAGCCTAGGCCTACTTACACTATTGTTTTGCCGTTAAGAAACAGGTCTCTTAACTTCACAATCTACAATCATTGACAAATATATGCATTAGGCCTAAACCAAGTTTATTTTGTAGTGTATTTTGCTTTGGCTTTTTGTTATTAATAAAAATTTTTATCTATATTAAATTTGTGATTAAGTAATTCATTTAAAGACATATTTTATTTAAAACAAGTTTTATAGGATGCGTATAGAAAGAATATTGATATGCGGAAAAGTAAATTTAACCTCTCTCCCCACCCCCGATTTTTTTTTTTTTTTTTTGAGATTTGACGCTAAACAATGTAGTGCTTCATTTCGAGATCTAGTTTCTTGTATACTTGCTCATTAAGTGTTGCTTTACTTTATTTCAAAAGGGAAAGAAGTCGCTGCTTGTTACCATACCCTAACTAAAAAGTCCAATTAGTTTCAAATCTGGCAAAATGCAATGAATGAATTTGGTGACTTAATTATCGCAATTCCCAAATTTGTGTTTAGTTTTTGTGTACAAAGGAACGTACACACCCGCAGGATTCTGGTTTTTGAAGTGTTTATTAGTAATTTTAACCACGTATTTTGCTGTATTGCTCCATTTGCATTTTAACACTAATAAAGCTAAACAATAAAATATAGAAAATGTTCATGCAGCTGGGGAATTTCATCTGTTGCATACAATTTCCATTTAGCATGGTTTTTTTATTCCTTTTTTTAATATTAAATATACTTTATACCTTGGTTCAGTCATTCAATCAATGATTCATTATGCTCACTTCAAATCTGATTGAGCTGGAAATACTTGTATTACTACTAATTTGATGCTATTGCAGACCAATACTCCTTGATGAGCCAACAGGCTATTGGGGATTTTCTTGTCGCATGTGTGTTACTCTAGTGGCTTGATGTTCATAAATGGGCTTGTTAAAATTATTGCAGAGTGAATTTTGATATAATTTAGCAATCATTGAATTCATTATTGTTGGTCGTTAAGGCTGATGAGCTTTAAAGCTCTGTCCAGATTATTAGATTTACTTTGACAAAAAAAAAAACTGTTGTATGCCCATATATAGTCATGATGTGTATCATATGATGTCCTCATGACCATATTTATGTATGTTGCATGTTTTTGTGAAATGAATTTTGATAGTCTGGTGAAGGCTTTAACCTATTGGGTTTTTTTCAACCCAACCACCAAACCCCAATAAAAAAAATGTTTGTGGTGTTTAAACTGTACATTTAATTATTGGATTGAGGTAATATTTAAAACATGTATAAACACAGCCGATTTTATGCGAGTCAGTGCCGACTGTACATTAAGAAGGTGCTGCCCCAGCACTACGCATGCATATGTGTTAGCCAAGCCATTGGAAACCATTTATATTCTTATCTGGTCTCAGCAAACACGGGTGAATATGATTACGTGCAGAAGTACTGTACCTCAGTGATATTGTGCTAGAGAGTATGATAAGGGACTGTGTGGAAGGAACCCCAATCTATGGCTTGCGTCACACTCTCAGTTTTACACAATGCATTCAGTTTATAGATGGGTTTGTATAGCAATCATGACAGTTCTCTGTTGACTTTAGCCCTCACTCTCAAGTATGTTGTTTTGAAAAAAAAATTGACAATAGTGTTATTATAATCACGTAATTGTTGATGGCTCTGTTTATCACATTTTGGTTGATTTGTTTGGGGAGGGGGCAAGAGTCTAGTTGAAAGTCTCCATTAGACAATAACAACTACTTGTCTCCATATTTTCTTTTAGATCTGACACCATCACCTGAACGAATATTGAACTGTGCCTGAACTGTGTGTACCCCAAAATGTGCCCGTCTCAAGCATAAGGCCAAAGATCAATCCTGAGATGTTTAGGTTTTAGTTGATTCAAGGACTTTTTCGTTTTACAAATTGCACAATATTAAAAGAGGTGGACATACTTTGACGACTACACGTCGTCGTTATTGGCAGAAGGATGTTTGTTTAGATAACATTGCAGCAGTTGACAATACATTCACCATCATATATTTATTATTCTGTGTGTGCAGTGCCTGAGTAGCATGTGTATAGCAGTGTAAAATGGAGTGTTTTTAAGAAGCATGTCAAATTTTATGGTTTTCTGGGGAAAATTTTATTTAATATAATTATTAATTTAATATAATGTTTGTAATTTAAAGGTAATGTCTGTGAAATAAAATCTGGAAAAAATACTGTATTTGAATTGGCTTGTACATTTAAGAAAAAATATTTTTTCTATAAACTTCACATAAAGTAAATCATTAGCTGAGCCAGAGCCCACAGGGCTGGAGCTTATCCCCAGTTTCTGTAGCATGAAGCAGATGAGAGTGTAATATTCCCCGTGGGCGGGACGCCAGTTCACCGCAGGTTACTTCCAGCAACTTGCTGGTACCCATTGATACAACTGGGTAGACTGATAAAGTGCTTAAGGACACAATTAAAATGCACAGTGAAGGATTAAAACCCCGACCTCGAGGTTGGGACACCAAATCATTTTCATTGTGCCAAATCACTTCTTTACATAGACTCTAAAATTCCTATGAAAGAAAAAAAGTTTAAAAGTGAAGCGAGCACAAAACATTTAACTCATTTGAATTTGCTAATTTATTTATTGATTTTGAATGTGCTTCTTCCAGTTTCTACTTCAGACCATATAATCTTGAATTTGTTTTCACTGTGTGTGTTAATAATAGCTCTGGTGAATAATTTTCACCACATGGTATGGTAATAGGGCTTCTCAAGTTTTTTACTCAAGCTATAGCTTGGTGGTTAAGATGCTTGCCTTCCATGATCCTGGGTTCAAATCTGTTCAAGAGGTCAGGATTTCATATTTTTTTTAATGAATACAAACAGTAGCTTGACATTGGGCAGGTACTTTATTAAGAATAAAAATAATATGCAATATACTACTTTATAAAGATTAGATCATTTTGGTTCTTGTGTTGCTAAATCTGAAGGACTAGTTTTTGTACGATTTTGTTTTTTTTTGTGCATTTGTATTATGTAGAAATAGGCCTAAGTTTGTATTCATATTTAATTGCAGTTTGTTTTATTCTAATCTTCTACCATTTTTGAAGACGTAATCTATTTTATAGTAAACAATTTTACAAAGGACGAAAATTTTTAAAAATGGTAGTTTTTAATGTGAATTTAATTGTGCAATTGCTAAAAAATATTTAGTTTATAATTTTAACAATTATATTAGAGGATGCTATTCAGATTATAAAAAAGCATAATACATGTACTAGTCAACTGGAAATAAATGCATACAATTCAACATGTTTTCATATTGTAGAACAATTTGCTGGGGAGGTGGTTAGATAACTTATGCATTAGATGGGTTCCAGATTAATAAATGAATATATATGCACAGAATTCTAACAATATGATTAAAGATCATTAGATTTGGCAATTAGCTTTGAACGCATAGTTATGAACTAAAATAATTTGAATAATAAAAGCTGTAGAGCCCACATCATCTAACGATAAATTATAGGCGTTCGAGTCGGTTAACTGCAGGATTTTGACTTCTAATGGTCAGTTTCCCAGAGTTCTAAGTATTGCCCACAAAAATTGTGTTGAAAATACAAGTTATACAATAGAACCTCACTCAATTTTGAGAGTCGAATTACAACCTCCAAGCCAAATGTACAAAAAATGTTTTATTTGAGAAATTCATTTGTAGTTTGATCACGTGGAAATGCAAATGTAACGTCAGTGGAGGTTTCCTCTATAGCAACTCCATTGCAGCTGCCTCGTGTACAAGTTATAGTTGTGCTACCAGTGGATGTTAAATTTCAAAAGCCATAGATGGATGTTTACAGGCTCCAAATCGGAAGCCAATTTTATTTTATGGGTGATTTACTTAAGAGAATTTTTATACGTTTTGTTTGATTTGGCAATTTTTAATAATTGAATGAGAATGATCAGGCCTACATGTGGAAACTCCTTTACTGTGTGCCTGTTAGATTTACTTCACGGGGGGATTCTTTGATCATAAATATGGTTTTTCATCCATATTAGGTTCAAATATATTTATATATAAACATTGAACATTTATCAAAAGCTAAGCATGATTGAATTTGACTTAACTGTAAGCAAGCTTTCGTCATGTTAACACCATGGCTTCAGACTGTGAGCCACGATGTTGTCATGTGTATAACAAGTATTTTCGTGTTCGCTTTTATATTGATAAATGTATTTAGCCTATATAAAAAAAAACAAGTATTGAAATATTATATTTATCTAGTATCCGATTTAAAGTTGAATTAAAATTATGTGCTTGCTTCTGTTTAATGTCATTCATCGTTCATTCTACATCATATAAAAGTTAGTTTATATGCCGTCTATGATGGTAAAGTCTGGCGAACCCGCCTAATGCAGTTAAGCCTTTACTTTTGTTCATTATATATTTTTAAAAAGATTTAATATATTGCTCTCTCTAACCTTGTATATCGCATTAAAAAAACTATAGTGCTTAGAAAGGAAAACATTTTTCATTTTACGTAGATAAACGGTTAATACAACCTACATGATATACAACTGTGTGTACATAATAACTTTTTCGTATGCTGTGTGTAGGCAGCACACAATGCAAACCTGATGCTTTTTCACGGCTTGACAACAACCTACAGATGCCTTTTTACTTATGCATTACTGATTTAATTCTCATTCACTTTAATACGAATCTTGCCAATTACCGGGTGTTACCGGGTTATGTTGGTATTTGGCGATGTGGTCGTATGCAATATCCTATTATACAAACATTACTATATCTGAAATCAATGCAGTCGTCCCTAAGGAAGGGGTGTAGGTTATTACATTTACATCCTCTCATCCGTTCCGAGATGATTATAACACCTTGATGCCTGGCTTTGCTGGGCTGGGATGTATTCAGTCGCTGCTTCACTATTTCTGCTGTTTTCATAAATGCAGTAGATAATATTAAATTAGCAATATATATAATATAATACAGTAATAAATACAATATTTTATTATATATATATATGTATATGTATATATATATATATATATATATATGTTTCATTTACTAAATTATATATAAACTGAT